ACAGCACACATCAATGCCAAGCGAGTCCAGTGTGAGTGCAAGAGCAGCTTGTTGTCCTGCTTGCTTCAGAGTGCGAACATTGAAAGCGGCCAGATAGAGTGGGTGTCGAGGCTTGAGGACTGATTTGGAGATTCCTGAAGATGTCGGCACCATGCGACGAGCAGATGCTGCATGCAAAACCGATGCATGACGAACGGAGTCATCAGTCCTAGGTGCTGGGCCTACAAGGAGAGAGTTATTAATGGGGTGGGGAGAGGGGGAAGAAAAAGTATGTGAAGGAGAGAGAAGGGAGGCGTCAGCAGTAGCCTGTTTTCGCTTACCCGCCCTGCTGTATGCAGCAAGTAAGGCGACCCGGCTGATGGCACCACGCGACGGCCGATGTGGCATGAGTTTATTTGTGTATGTGCAATTCATGTTTGCCTTAGAATGAGATTTTAAAAAATCAACGAGAAACCATGAATGATGTTAAAATCTCTACTCAGGCTACTGAGAAATTCGAACAGCTTTTGATGCGAAAACCATAATATCAAGAATTAAAATATTCGGGATGAGCGGAGTGTACTCGTGTCAGGAGATGACAGAATATTTCTGGGTCTTATAAAATCCGCCGGGGGACAAAACAATTCTCAGTGTGGTAATATCTCTCCCATGTACTACTGTGGCGGAAATTGGAATCTGTAAAACTCTTGGAATAATAAATACGACCGAATGCAGCTAAAAGTGTACCTACAGAGGGAATTCCGGTTACGTGAATCGCTGGAATAGCCCATGATAGCCTGATAAATAATCTGAGGAAAAGTCTGAGTGATGGAAACAGGCCTACTGTCCTTGGGCTTATGATGGGTCATAACACGACAACCAATTGGGACTACTACAACCACTTTACACTACAGAATAGGATAAGGTAGAGGTTGAGGCATTCGGGTGGCCGGTGGAAACCAGAAACACTGAAGAAAAACAAATTAGCATCGTACGATCCCATGTAGTCGCAAGGAAAAGCCTAAGTGCAGTTAGCCGTTAGCTTTTCACATATTGGGAACCACTCCACCGGTTAGGGTTATGATGCGACTTTGCAGGCACAAGATGCAGGTCATTAGAAATCTGCGAAGAATAAAACGCCGAAGAATATCCGGTGGGTTCCTTTTGAAATAAGTGTCCTATCGAGGTCAGGAAATACTTCCTTGGAAAGACTGGGATCATGGCCTGTGGAGAGTGCAGCCCATTTCGCGCTGCTTAGACATACCATAGAAGGAAGCCTCGTATGCGAATTTTCGGGGACAGTTACGCGGATCCAGATATTGCCGACTGAATTGAGCAGTGTATGATAGTAATTTGTCTAGAGATGCGTGCTAATGTCACAAGCTCCGGACGAAACCAGTTTGGCAAATCACGCTTGTGATGCAAATATCGTTTGTCACCCAACCTAGAGGACCAGTAGCACCTCGTCTAGATGAACCGTCCACTGCTGAGCTGTCGTGAATATTGTGGAAACGACATCTAATACGAGACTGTCATCGGAACACTTTCCGATTTCCACAATTGCAAGCAGTTATTTTTGCTGGGCTTGACGATGCCCAACCCTCGAGATAAATGATTTAGATGTGTTGAACCAACGTTGGAACCCTGCTTATCGGAAGGTTAAATGGCTATACTACCAAGTGAAAAGTGATCGCATCTCATTCCCATCATTAATCATCCGAAACATGCAGCTATCTGACCGCGTGAACGAACGTTTGCAACCTTTGCAGCCAAACGGCTACATGAGCAACGTGAGCTACTATTCCCTCATCTTAACACCTAGCGACTCCACAATCTTGCTCGATTTGACACCACGCGCAACAGGCGACGAGTCGTCCCAACAAATCTCCCTATAGCCTAGCTGCACTGGTGATACTCCACTGTTGTCCCACGAAACCTCAGCCGCGTATGGGTTCGATTGAAGTACCAAGATAACCACTCAGGTGTGATCGGATGAACGCGCAAAATCCAGGTCTCCGGAATTCGAAACGGAAGTCCATAAACAGACACCAGGGTGGGTTAGAGTAGCACGAGAACGAAATCCATTGGGGGCCCGGGTGTGAAAATCAGCACCAAAAGTGTAGAACCCGGATCCCGCTGCGCAGCAGTCAGTCCCTCTGGTGAGGTCAGGGGAGTACACGAGTGGTTATACGGATAAGATAAATGCAAAACTCCTAAGTTGCTGAGGCCTTAAAGCTGACTCATGGGACAATCATCATTGAGACACATGGTGATTGGACTAGAGCGAATAAATGCTATCCTCTGAAAAACAGTAAGTTAACCTCCTAGTAATATGCTTGGGTCTTCCATTTGTCAACCATCATCATCTACAGCGTCGACCTTCATCAGATCCACACAGTGACCTCGAACACTTTAGTGCTGTTGAGATCAAGGCCGTTGCCAGACTGGAGTAAAGCACTACCACTTGTGAATACCTTCAGGGCAGCCTTACTATTTCAATGCAAGCACCGAACCCTACTATCGCCTATCAGCCGAGTTAATCCCATCACTTACAGTCGCGCAACCGTTCGCTCATTACAGACACCGCGTTTAACATCATACTGAGGTTGCGCAGCTCTTCCCATGTACGAGACTTTATGAACGCGCAGATTATGGCACAGTGGAACCTTCCTTCAGGCACTTCCAGACTATATTTGTCGGAAGTTCACAAATCAACTGTTAACGATCCATACGAAACCGCACTTTTTCACATCCCGACTTGTGCACCACCTTTATTCAACAATCCGAGTGCCGAACCAATTAGCAAGAGATAGGCAAGAACAAAAGCCCGATCAGGAAAGCTGGTAGTACACTAAACGTGCAGATTGAGAACGGCCGTTTGGCTACATTTGGATTAGTGATCTATTGGCTGTAGGTATCAGGATCACAATAACCTGCGCTGCTCACTACCGTAATGTGATGGAGGTCGTACACGTCAGGGGACGTGAAGGACTCTGTTAAGAATGTCGATACCCTAATCCAGACTGCGTGGACATAAAGGCCTTCCATGCATTGGGATTCCCTGAAGGCTAAACGTTGAGGTCTGCAGGAAATTAGTTCAACTATTTGGGTTTTGGAAGTTGATGGCGAAACCAGCATCACGAAAGTTACGCATGATCAGCTAAGGAGCTGACTTCAAACTAGGAAACACCCGTAAATCATCCTCGAAGTTCCTGCGGAGGCGACCATGATCGATTCGTCAGATCGCTTGCATACAAGCTCCCTTCCCTTATAACCTCCATGAGACCAGAGTAGTCATCACCGTATCCACACCGTCTGTTGTCTATTTATGATCGAGAGCCCGAGCAATTCGGCTGGAAATGCGCCAGTATCAACCGAATTAGGTCGTTGAGGAGTGGCACCATAGCGCAGCGCCACAATCATGCAAGTAGGAATAGATCTACTCTGCATGATCCTCTCAGAGCTGTGCTACGACAGGCTTAGAATGTCGCTGAATATGTTGATTCAAAATGCATCTAGCTGTACCAAAACCACATTAGGCTTTAGCTTGATGAAAAATGCATCCCCATGACATTAAGGCCGAGTTGAAGCTGGAACAGTGAAGGCAATGCAGCACACTCCACGGAGTTCTATACGGCCAGTTCCTTATAGCAAATAATCGACTTTACTCCTCCTCCAACACCGAGCGCCGACGGTGAACACAATCGCTCCTTTAAAAGGACCGCCTAAAATGCCTTGATTCATCCCGACAAAGACCGTAGACGGATCCCCGAAGATGTGACGTGCGCCATTTATTCAGAATGTTGGTCTAATTTCTGCCTGTTATACAGGAGTCATATTTCGGTAAGATTCTCCACCGAGTACGTTCAATTTGTAAATCCTCTAAGAAACAGTCCCAGGTGATAATAACCAACAGTTATGTATTAACCTGTTTGGTCCTCTCACGAGAGGCAAAATCCTTGCTGTAACTGAAACCTGATTACGGAGCTGCTTGCGGGGCATACTCTAGTTCATGGTGAATCGATTTGCATAGTATAACTTAGCGTCAATATGACGGAGAACCAAACCAGATAAAGTTGAACAACAGGCAAACGATCGAAAACGATATCAGCCGACGAAGTCTCAATGAACTACAGACTCCAGTAGTGTACTCCACATATGAACTATTCTTAAACTAAAAAGTACTTTCCGCGAAATGGCGCTTGACGTTTTGAAGACCGCAAAGTGAGATTTCCCAAACCCCGGCCAGAAACTTTACTGGACATGATCAACCGGTCTGGATAGAGTTGTTGGGAGCAATGCTCACATTCGCTCCTCTTTAAATCGTTACCTAGCAATCTGACCTATCAGCAGTCAAACACTGCATTTCAGTTAAAACTAAAAAACCCAATCAGCAACACAAGAGTAGATGACCATGCGAAGTATTGTCTGTATCCAACTTATATTCAAACTGGATATCAGGAACAACAACTAAAGTGATGCCAGGCTACGTTTCTAGGCCCTCTGAGTTTCAGTTAAACCCAACATGATGCAGTGCAAGACGAAACCACAATCACATTGGAGACCGCCAGGGGAATTTTCCCGAAAGACAGTTAGCTCGCTGTTCCTGTATGCGGTCATACTGTCCATATTCGACTGCTTCGTACAAGAAGGACCTACAATAATGGGAAGTGGTCCAAGATTTAGGCACCATCGAACCGAAAAGTCAACGTGTCTTGAATGACTAAGAAATTCCGCTCTGCTTAAAAAACGAACGAAACGATCTCTCGTGAGAGGTAAGTGATGCTCAAAAAGTCAGTGACAATGTAGCGCTCTATATGCAATCAATTTACAGGTAGACACAAGGTGTCTAACATACCTATGGACAGAAGTGGTCTCAAGAACACTACCCTTGTTCGAGGGAATTAATTGGGCAACAAAATTGCAAAAGGCCTGTGACCAGATCTCCGATGAGCATGTACACCAGTAAAAGCACTATGCAAAGACAATAGGTCTAGACAGGAATAGGAAAGCGTACCTGCGGGCATTAGGTGGGGAAGGTACATGTACAAGCCGGCGAGCGAGCGCCAGAGGGTGAGCGAAGACCTTCCTAAATATATGTACAATGATGGAGTTGGAGCCAAATAACCAAAGGCGTAATCAAAATCTCCCCGAGGACTGACAAAAGCGACGTAGTTACGCACACAGGCAAGACGATAAGGGGACGCCTAGCGACAAAGTTGTAGCGAAGGCCTTTCGTAAACTGGAACAAAATGTGTACAAACGGATCGCCACATGTCAGGAAGAGTTTACGTGATTTGACGCACTTGAGTTCAGTAAAACCAACTGGTAGAATAAGCTGATCACTTGTGTATAGGTGAATTCAATCTGGAAGTCAACAAGTCAAAGATAGCAAGTAATATTGGGAAGTGAAGATCTATAAAGACAAATCCCACTGTTGCACATCACAATGGCAGACGTGAGGATCGAGCACAGTCTGATAGCAATCGGCAAGCGTCACTGAACGACAGTTGAACGGACCGTGGAGGGCGGCACAGGCTTAAAAATTAACAGGGGTCAACAATACAGAATTAAGACGGGGGGTCCGTTAAAGAAGTGCTTGAAAGCATTCAAATGAGGGGAATTTGGGAAAAAGACCATTTTGATACAGCAGAAACCTATGTATGGAACGTAAATGCGATGAAGGATAACAATGAACTGACAAACCAGGCGGGACGGAAAGCGGATATTCTGAAAGAAAATAACCACAGAATCATTGGGTCACTTGGACGAGAAGGCCCGCAGATATGGTTGATTAGGCCAAGCTCCGTTGTTGACAAAACCCGTGCACTGTGTACAGTGGTGTCATGCATGCTTATTTCCGCTTTCTCTGGGTAGAGTCCCATTCATACACAGCCAAAGAGAGGAACAAAAAGCCAATGATTTATTATATATCACTTGATCCCGGCATTCATATTATTGCCAACCGCACTAGGAGGTGCTCCAGGATCCAGAATACCGGAATTGGGATCAGCGTTTGGGTGCGGCCCGGACTGTTGGGGGGTCATGAGTGCGACGACCTGCCGACCACCGCCGGAGGTGGATATCAGTTGTGGTTGGGATTGATGTTGGAGCTGCCCAGAAGCACTTGTGTTGGTCAAAATTATGTGAGATGGAACTTGTCCACTGACGGACTGTTGCTGTGGCCGAAAGTGAACTATGGCGGCCTGAGGAGCGGCATTTTGACGACCAAGTGTTGTAAGTGCAGCATTCGCCGAAGCCACTCGCTGAGTCGACCCAATGACCTGTTGTGGACCCCCTACAGATAGCATGCTCGCGTTAGCAGCAGAGACGAACATACCCGTTGCCGGCACGTTATTAACGAAAGTGGTATTCCCCTGACCCAGTGATGAGGTAGTGCTGTAAAAGTGTTGAACTTGAGGCTGAGACTGGGACGGTACGGTTCTAAATCTCAACGTAGTCGTGTTCGAACCAGCTTGACCAGAATGTAAGGTGGGGGCGGTCATGACTGGTTGGTGATTGGCGGTAACGGGAGGCTGTATGGATATCCATTGTACAGGTTGATGAACAACAGTAGATTGTGTTGAGCCCAGCGGAGGTGCGGTTACAACAGGGAGCGAATTGACGTTTGGGTTGGTGCTCACCAAGTTTTGAATGTGGTTTCCAGGAATACCACTGTTGTGGTTAGTGATAGTAGTGACTGCAGGTGACGGTACGATCACAACATTGTTCGACAGCGTGCTCGTGCCTAGAAGAGACTGGGATACGTCCGCTAATGTTGAAACAACCGGAGCAGAGGGAGCGGTGGATGGAATAGTTGTTACGACCATTCGCCGCTGCGCCGTTTGGGCTCTGAGGCCAGCTTGCTTGTTTTGCGAATGCAGAGCGAAGAATGCTGCATGGTACTCTGGATGGCCCTTGATCCAGTCAATGAACTGGAAAGAAAATAAGGCGCGGAAATAGACCAATCAGATTTAGAGAAAACTGAAAGTGCCTATCTACGAATAATCCAAAGTGAAAACCGAAAGACATAGAGGCAAACCATGCAATTCTAGCCGAAACCTTTTGCGTAAAACAAACACACTTGGTCAAGAAAATGTTGAACAACCGCGTTGGACACAAGGAACATGGTGCAGTGATGGTCACTGTGTAAGAGACAATGGAAGTTGCTGCCTCTAGTGCACTAAACACCCGGAAAACATGCGATAGGATAGAGCATTTCAACTAGCTATGAACGACCAACTAAAGACTTACAGTAAGCGTTAGTTGTCAAATTACACTGCTAACATCAAACATCAGCCAGATTTGACCCTTCCCGTGCGATGACTGACAAGAGTTGCCCGGTCTCAAACCTATTTGTGCTCGGAGAGGCTTATTGCGCCTCGAAAGAAAGTGGAAAACGGTGTAGTCGCTTAGGCTGCAGTGCATTTTTGAGCACTAGCCACACTAGTTGGTCGGGCAGAGAAAGCTCGGACCATGGTATTTACCCTGTAATGCCGTTGAATCGACACGAGGACGAACTTTGAACTAAACTTTCCGAGGTGACCACTGAAAACTGATCCACACTCCGTTGAATGAGAAATTAACAATGATATGTTGTTGAGTGCCCCTGAGAAAGTTCTAGCAGGGTCACTTAACTAAGTGAACCTCCGTATTCATCACACATGGTGTCCGTAACCCGTGATGACCAAAAACAGTTTTGGCTCACCACCTAAATTATCATTAAATGACATTATCAGTTGAAAAGAATGGTTAAAATAAACTTCTGGTACGAAAGATGGAATTTTCAGACTTAGCCCGTATTGGATGATTAAGACAGTTTAAATCATAAAGGAAACTTTCACATGTACACATAATAGTGTACATCCCCAAAAACCTCTACTCGACGGTTTACCGGATGACGTAGTCAGACTGACCAAAATGGCACAGTGAACAGGAAGTCTCGCGAACATCATAGGCAGCGACACTTGCGCTATAAAGTTTATTTGGACGTACCCGTAGGGCAAATACCCACGAAATTTTTTGAGTTTTCGTGCGTGTTCAAACTGACATAGTTATCGAAAAAAAACAATAGTTTAATGCACTATGGACTCAGCTGCCGATGACTGAGTTACGCACACATGCACTGGGCGACTGCACCACGCGAAACAAAGTCCTAACAACCAAGACATACCCGGCGGTTCTGTTCTTCACTTGAGGCACCGGTGGCTTTGATCAAGTGAATTACGTGACTGACGTGAGCTATGTCTTGTGGTCTGGCTCTGGCCGCCATCGCAGCTATTGCAGACGCTTTTTGACTATTAGGCTGATTAACAGTTGCATGACCAGATGTGGAAGGAATAGATTGCGTCGGCCCCTGGGAAATTTGCAACGGCTGACAGTTGTTAGCCAGTGAGTAGGGTGTACTTCCTGGGACGGTAGTTGGTAAAGCTGGTCTGGCACGCCAATTTCCAGCAGGGGCGTTTGAGTTGGGTTGAGGGTGTACCAATCCGGCTGACTGCTGAGACTGCTGAACAACAACTCTGGTGCCGGAAGGAAAAGCCGAGTTACTTGGTAAAGGGCGGGTAGCGGAAAGCGGGCTTCCTTGAGAAAGAGGCGTGACTTGGACAGAACTTCGCTGCTGAAGCTGCGGGCTTGGCGTATCACCCATCGGGCCAACTACATTTGACGGTTGATGTGCGGTTTGGGTTGTGTGTTGGGTAGCCTGAAATCCAGACGGAGACGCAATTGTGTGTGGAGGATGAAGAACTTGGCCACTCACCGTGACCGGTGTTGCAGCAGCGGTGTAGGTTGAGGGTGACTGTAGGCCGTGGCTCCCTTCGGGAACTGGCTGCACACCAGAGGGGGTCGGTAGGGAAGAAGCATGAGAACTCAACTGTTCAGCCGCTGGAACAGCACCCCTATGCATAGTAGAAATTCTGCGACGGAGTAGTTTGCTCTGCTGCAGACGCTGTTGCAGCTGTTTTTGTTTGACGCGGTATTTGATATTTAAGCAGAATGGAACTGGACACTTCGACTCGTCACAACAGCGGGCATGATGCCACAAGAGTGACAGCAACTGACGGCATAGTAAACAACTGTTTGTTGCCTTCTTAACACAATTGCGAGTGTGGCATAACACACGCTTCATCTGTGTGCAGGTCTGCATACGACAATTGGCATCGCGGCACTGACACGCATGCAGCAAAGATTTAATACAACGCTCGATGCTGCTACGGCGATCAGCTGTAGAATTCGCACCCGAAGGCCGATCAGTTGACTCTTCATTTGTCCCAGAATCTTCATCGATTCCGAGTCCGTATTTCACCATGGGATGAGGATGGTTCTCGGTGGCGTAACAGCGAGAGCACAGGTCATATTCTTCGCAGTCGTTACAGTGCCATCTTGTTTCAATTTGTGCACCACAGACGTTGCAATTGTACATAAAGCTTTGTCTCTGTTCCATGTGGAGCTCGTACAACAACACCATTGTAGAATACTTTGCTCGCCGGAGAGAGGAAAACTCCAGGTGACGTTCACGCGCCATTTGGAGAAAAGCGTCACGACTATCCATTAGCTCGCTGTGTACTGGTTGATCAGGGTCAGAGGTGGGAGGAAGGGTCGCTGCGGAATTATGTCGATGCAAACGTATTACGAAGAATATTTCCTTCAACTTCTCCATTGTATCATACACCTTACGGGATAGCTCTTCAGTGCCATCAATGGGTCCATCTAGACGTTTTCTCTTGCTTGCAGTAGAAGTATTTCCTTTCTTGTTACCCTTACGCTTTTTTGCCTTCTTCTTGCCACTACGTTTGTCGGGATCACCAGAATAACCTTCACCTGTCAGACCAGTACTATCAGACTCATCGTCCTCCGCCTCAGCTTGGGCCATTGCTTCTTCCCGTCGTCGTCGATCTTCTTCCTCCTCAAGCTCCTGTCAGGTAACGAAAAAAATTGAAAGCAGATTACGATACGGTGCGGTTAAACCAAGAGAATGCACACATGACAGAAGAGGGTAATTGCTTCGACAATTACTATCGGCGCTCCACTTTCACTAGCAGACGATAAGAACAACACAGTGGAGATCCTTGTACCTGAATCCCAAGGGGTCATTTCGGCTATTACATGTAAATCGATCAGTGAAAATAAAAACCAGGGCATTCTTGTGATGGATGCCAGGCACGAAGCGCAGATGCAGCTTGGCAGGAAAATACTGAAGTCTCCTGACCAAAACAGATATCAGTAGTTCAACCACGTGAGAAATTCTTGGAGCCGATCGAGTAGTCATCGTTTTCGGATAAGTTTGGTAACAATCGGTGGATTTATTACTGGGTAACGTTTCGCTTTTGGCACAAAAGCGTCGTCAGGCCAAGCGACTGGGTTACGAGGTTGGTCGAGATTTAAGGCAAAAGGAGAACCAACCAGCTAAGTAAAGCAAAATCTCTGTTGGGTGTCGGTCGAGGGATTTTTGTGTTAGGGTGGGTGACCAAGTGTTGGGACGATGGGAAAATCTACGTGTTTGGGTCCAGCCTAGGATCTAGTTCATCTGGTTCGGCCCACTTGATGAACCCTATTGGACGTTGTTTGAACTTTCTATCCATCTGTGTGGATGAGCTAGTGCTAGGATGGTTGTCTATGAGGGATGCTGTGAACTTTGGTTGCGTTGGGATTTGCACCCTCGTCCCCTGGTTTTTTTTAATGATTCTACGCGGATTGACAACCACAATCACGCGTCAACTCGGCTTATCTAAGACCGCTTTCCATACGCTCGCTAGTTCCACACCCTCAATCCTATTCACGCTGTGAGACTTAGTAATTTCCACCAACTCGGCTATCAGCCGCTGTGGTGTGAATCGCAGTCCCCGTCTTAAAAATTTCCATATTCTCACCGTCTTCATAATTCCATCACTGAGGACAGGCTGCCTCATAATACGTTTGATTGCCGTTCTGGGACTCGGTTTTCGTCGTCCAGTTGCTCCAATTTGGCCTTCC